GTTGCCTTTTGGAAAAGCATCCCCGAGACCACCACGGCCATAGTTTTCCTTGAAAATTATGAGGCATCCTCTGGCTCATGGGTAGGACAGAACTGAAGAAGTTTGTGGCTTGAGAAGCAAAATGTTTTCAACAGGGAAAAAAACTCAAGACAGTCCAGTTGACTTTGGAAAAGCACCTCTGGGATATATTGTAGAGTTTTCTGGGATATACTGTAAAAGCTACACTGTCACGAGCTGACATAAAACTAAGGTTTCATAACTGAAGAGAGGATATAAATAGACTTTGACAATGTGCTCCCCATCTACAAAAGAAAGCATCAATAATTTGGAATTAAGATAGTGGTTATGGGGGGAGGGGAATCAGAAAGATGCACTATCATATTCCCTCTTCTAGGAATGTGAGTCTGGAGAGGATGGGCAGGCAATGGAGGAGGAAAGCAACAGATGATCCAAAATTGCAGAGCTCATATAGGATAGCATATGTAATACCTAGTAACACAAGAGGTCCTGTAAATGCTGAAAAATTGAAATTTCTATACATTCATTCAAGAAAGCGATATCTAAAATCTTGTTTACTTAGAAAGTCAAGAGGCTGATCTGGAGAAAGATACAGCTTTTTGTGGTACACAGAAAGACCAAGGCAAGATAAATATAATTATATATTTATGTCCAATAAATCTGATCTTGAGAAAGGCTGTAAGTAGCTGCAGGTAGTTGGGAAGTCTAAACAAAGCCACCACATTCATGGTACATGAAAAAGTAAAGTGCAATGGGGACATCAAATGGAAACACATCAATTCACCAATGCTAACTACTAGTAGTCCTTGATATACAACAGTTTGTTTAGTGGCTGTTCAAAGTTAGAGTGGCACTGAAAAAGTGACTTATGATCATTTTTCACACTTGAATTTGAATTTGAATTTGAATTTATTAAAATTTATAGGCCGCCCTTTTCCCTGAGGGGACTCAGGGCGGCTTACAATCACTTATGACCATTGCAGCATCCCCATGGTCACATGACCAAAATTCAGATGCTTGGCAACTGATTCATATTTGTGATGGTTGTAGTGTCCTGGGGTTAAATGATCACTTTTTGTGACCTTCTGACAAGCAAAGTCAATGGGGAAACCAGATTCATTTAACCAGCATGTTACAAACATAACTGCAGTGGTTCACTAAGCATCTGTGACAAAAAAAAAGTTGTAAAAAGAGGCAAAACACACTTAACAAATGTCTCACTTAATAACAACATAGGGCTCAATTGTGGCTGTAGGTCAAGGACTATCTGCACAATATTCCTTTCTTAAAAACCTACATCTCCTGCAGAACTTCAAAGCATCCTCTGGTCCATAGGCAGGAACAGAATAAAGCTGCATTGGGCAGTTTTATTATGTCTGTTGCTTGTGACTGAATTGGATTTCAAAGAAGTAGCTTTAACAGAAACAAGTATATCTCAAACACTGACATACTGGGACAATCAGACAAAATGGGCCAAGACCCCCATGATGAATGGACCAGTTTACCATTGAATCCATCTTATAACTCATCTTTTCAAAGGAGCAAATGATTTCTCTCAAAAGCTAGGTTACTGAGCTCCAAAACCATGAAGCCAAGCACATTAGGCCATTAGACTTGCTATGATTCTAGATGCATTATGCTTACCAATATAAATCTGTTGCCATTCAAATATAGATATATCACTTTCTGCCTTAGAAAGTAAGCAACAGAGCTGACTTTTTCCACATAAATAATTGATAACACTCTGTATATAAGCGTAGTCAAAAGATAAGGCATGTATAGTTTGCCTCTTATGCTATTCAGCTTAAGGTCCGTTTTTTGTTTAAGGTGCTCTTGGTCAAGTGATATAAAATAGATCTGTTGTGACCCAACTCTTTGAACAGTCTTAACAATGATGGAATAGAATGAGGATGTCTAGGAATTTGTTCCCGTCCACCCCATAACAATTCTCCAAATAATCTAGGTAGAATGTTTTTTAATGTTTCTGAAAAGCACTGGTAACACTGATAATAATAGTTGGAAATGGAGTCCATAACTTCGTTGATTCTGACCCACTCAATAGAAAAAGAAATTACACGAGAAAAGGGTTGTAGAACCTGAAGCGAGATGGTAAGTTATGCCATACTTCTTCTATTACTCAGGTTTTAAGAAGACCTACCTTCCAACTTTGTCACTCCGTAACATGAGATCTGCTACTTTCAGAATGATAAATCCCTTGACTTCTCCACTTGAGTGTTTTGTGTATTGAATCATGTATTCAATCATGTATTGAAACCATGATGAAAAATTTGACAGGTAACACCATAAAGCATCATGTTCTGGCATCACTGCTATTCATAAGAATGCACTCAAGCCTCATTAGCATGCCAGCATTCTTAAAAAAATTAAATGATAAGTATTTCAGCCTTTGTTTTTGAAAGTGTTCCAGTCCCCCTCACCCCACCCCACATATGAACAAGGAAGCTAGGGAGTAATCTTCACCAGATTGCTCTCTAGAAAACCAGTATTTTGGTGAATAGCCATGCCCAACAGAAAAATCTTTTGCAGAAGAATCAACCACTGCCCACACTGTCCACTTATTTTTGGAGGACTGAAACAAGAGGCTGTTTTATATTTTGAAATACACCCTCAAAACAAAAAAGCTTGCCTGTCCTATCAAATTAATCATCCTAGAATTATAATTGGTTAAAATCTCAAAAATCCTTGTTTCTCTTCAAAAAATGTATCGTCTAATTTTTTTTTATTCTTCAGCCAGCTGTGACGTTCTGTCAAATGTAGATAAGTCCTGGATGTTATTTCAGTCTATATTCCTACCTTGAATAAAAATAAATAAATTCCCAAACACGCACCTCCCCATATGTACTAAGATTACAATTCCTAGACTTCTCAACCATTGAGAGGTTAGGCCAAAATAAATCACGTTCTCTACCTGGAAATTCTAAAGTGGGTCTTCTAGTTCCTGCTCCACAGTCCCTATATAGTTTCCAAGAATGCAAATATACCCCATGTTTAGACCTCCACAGGCCCAACCAAGAAACCCCTTCTTCCCAACAGTCCAATTCTTCTAATAGTATCTTTGACCCAGAATTTACTGACGTCACTGGTCAGTGGTCAGTATGGCCCACACTCTCATAGATAGTCCATTTTTTGCTTTTAGCTTGCCCAGAAGTGACAGGCACATTGGGGAACTGCCTGTTTGTTTATCTTCCTCTTCATAATTGTTTATTTTGATGGTACATCCTTCTAGTCCAGCCCAGATTGATCTTTCACCTTTCCACATCCTGTTTGCTGGAGAAAATTGTGCAAGGATGGGCAGATGTATAGCAAAATCAGGACCATAGTAAAAAATATTCTGGGTACTTTTTTTCAGGAGACTGGCAATATTGAAATCTGTTATATCTAAGCAACTTGCAATACATGGCTTAACTAAGAATGAAGTAAGCTTTCAGCCCAGGATCTTATGACCACAAAAGCTCTTCATGACCATAGTTATGACTACTGATAAAATCCTACATTATATAATGTCCCAGGAAAATCTCCTGAAGAGCAACTCAGTAAAGTAACAGCTGTCTAGCCTAGTATAGACATCTCATAGATTACTAATTTTCTACAGCCTGGAGTCCTCTAAATGTACTGAGATTTCCCCATAATTCCCTGAATGTGTAGCCTATGCTGGTTGGAGATGATGAATATAATTATCTAGACACCAGAATGGAGAAGCTTCATACAAACATGAAATTGTTAAAGCTAGAAGCTTTCAATCAAAATCTTATAAAGAACATAATTAAAAATTTATCTTCCCTTTTAAAAACACATTGGATATTACATACCGTATTTTTCGGAGTCTAAGATGCACCGGAGTATAAGACGCACCAAGATTTTGAAGAGGCAAATTTAAAAAAAAGTTTGGAACAGTTTACATCCCAAAACAATACCTTTAACACCATCAGACAACAACATTGCCTATCCCAAATCCTTGGGAAGGACTCAATAGATGGACAAAAATTTCAAATGCAGCCTAAACACCTGTCTGATTATGCGACCAACCATAATAATAATAATAACAACAACAACAACAACAACATAGCTAACAAAGAATAAGCTACATAAAAGCAATCAGTAGTGTTTAATATTCTGAGCTCTGGCCATTTGAGGGTTTTGACATTGGCATTATCAAGATAAAAGCTTCTACAGGAGATCTCTGACATTTTAATAGTAATGATAGGCAAGAGGAAATAATTTGTTAAATAATTGCTCTACTTATTGTTTTGATCGATATCAACTTAACAACATTATATCCTCTCAAAGAAGTTTGGAAATTATAGCTTTGCAGGTTATGAAAATTTCACAGAATCAATAGCTTATTATTATCTAATAAAACAAATATTATATTGGCAAGATTCACATACCATTGAAACAAAGCTAGTTCATTCTCCATGATATAATCAGACATCATGTTAACTGATCCTTTACCTTTACCATTGTTGCATAATACGACAATGCTTCATATTTTTTTTGGTCTTCAAAGCATGAGTGCATAATAGCACTGAAAGAAAACATTAAATCATCCAATACTAAAGCCACATTGCCTTAATGTAACGAAGTCCTTCTTTCCCATTTCTATGGCCCAACCAAAGTAATGCTCATCAGCATATATGAAGTTTATTGAAAGAGCAATCAAATGATCTGGCATGGGACCAAAATAAAATATTGAATAAAATAAGATGCCCAATAGATATAATATTAATGCATTCAAAACAATGTATCAGTAGAGTCCATAATTGATTATGATACAATTTGTCACATTAACTTAGGAGAAGCATTTTCCCCACTGTACAAATGCTAAATAATAAAAGGAAAATTGTACCTCAGTCTCAAATGTGCGCAGGAAGGATTCTTCTTTAAAGGGTTCTGTTTTTAGACGTTCTGCAATAGAAATATCAAAGTAAATAGGGAGAATTTTGAAAGAGCCACGCCGGCAAGCTCTCTACTGCTGTTTAGATTTAAAAGAAAATTCAGGTAGTGACATCCACATCTGAAAAGCTGTAAAATGAAAAGCCAATATTTTCATCATGTGTCAAGCCAAATCAACTTGATATCACAGTCATCAATAAAAGGCACACATTAACCACCTGGCATAAACCTTCTAGCTGTATCAATACTTGGGCTATCACACACATATGTACGTACTGCTGAACTCAAAGATTAAAATTTATCTCTGTTTTGACAGAGACCAATGGGTCACCTATGGATAATCGCAAATATCTAAGAGTAGCAGATATCTCCTAACTATATAAAAATCAGAGGGATCAAACAGTGCTGGCACGTGGTTGGATATGTGGCAAAACAACGTAGAATACTAAATGAAGTCTTGGACCACATTCCATCTATCCACAATTTGGTGAGGAGTGGAGGAACAAGTAGGAACATTTGATAAATAATTTGTGAGTTGGTTAGCTTAACAGTACAGTTACAATATGCTCTTGAATGGTTGTTTTGTCTTAGAGAACCAAACTTATCAAAGTGTCAACCAAATTCTTGCCTTACTGGCATGAATGTTTCAGTTCTCCAGATGGTAAGAATTAGAAGAGCCAATATCTCAAGCAGAAATATTAGCTTGAATACAACTTTATGATGGAGAGAATGACGGAAAAACAGTTTCCATTTGCTCCAAATTCTTAGTGGATCTTCACACATGTGAAAGTAAAAGATGTCCCAATTCAAATTTCTCCACAGCCCAGCACTGGCTATCTTCTTGCTCTGGAGCACACATTCAAATACCGTATTTTTCGGAGTATAAGAAGCACTAGAGTATAAGACACACCAGAATATAAGATGCACCAAGATTTTGAAGATTTTTTAAAAAGCTTTTACACTCTACAGACCTTCCAAACCCTCTGTACTCCGTACGCCTTATTTTTTGTGAAAAACAGGGCATGCAGAGAGTTTGAGAGGCCTGCAAAGTGATCCTGGGGGCTGGGGGAGGGCAATAGCAAGCAAAAAACAGCCCATTTTTCATTTCCCCCCCACAAAAGGGCATGCATAGCCTTTAGGAGGCTAGTAGAGCATTCCTGGAGGTTTGGGGGGGGGCAAAAAGAGCAAAAAACGGCCCATTGTTTGCTCGTTTTTGCCCTCCCCACCCCCCAGGAACATTTTGCAGGCCTCCCAAACCCTCTGGACATCCATTTTTGTGAAGGGGGCAGGGTTTCGAGAAGCCAAAAATGCTGTATTCAGTGTATAAGACGCACCCAGATTTTTACCCTCTTTTTTGGGGGGGGAGGTGCATCTTATACTCTGAAAAATATGGTACCTCTTTGAGAACCCCCTAAGCAATCCAGCTGCTGGTCACTATCTAACATTTTTGGTCCCCTAACAATCTGATCAGTCAGTAGCTTGGAAAAGCCTTTTATTTTTTAAAGGGGGGGGGGGCAACATTAAGCTCGATAGTGACCAAGAGCTGAACCCTTAGGGCCAGCACTGATGAAGAAGGAAAGCCGTAAAGCACAGTGGAGACCAAACAGCATCTCACCTAGACTGAGAGTAGCTCCACTCTCCCGATAGTCTTCAATCTCTGCATCCTTCTGGAGCAGCAAAGATGCCAACTCCTGTACCTGACCGTGCAAGGCCACACTCATTGTCATGAGAGGCCTCAGAAGGTGGCGGGATATCTGCCATTGAGAAGAAAGGGTAAAAATAGCAACAGCAATATCAGAGGGCCAAGCACCAGGAAACAACCATTTATAACTGATGTTTCAGCTCAACATTTTTAGAGTGGGCCAGCAAAAGTAAATGCAAGTCTGAGAATATTTCTCTATTATTTCTGTGCACACACCGCATATATTTCCTGCTTTCTTGTTGTCTTCCGGAAGTGTTTATCTGCCACATAGAAGAGGATTGTTTTATTTCTCCTGCAAAAAGGAATCTCATAATTCAGATATGGTCTCTGCTTTGTCCAACACTATCCAAAAGGGTATGTAGGAAGAAATAATGCACATTATTATAACTCAAGGAAGGGGAGATGCTAAAATCAAAAGGAATCACTAAATTTAAAATAGGATGGTGCCATGGATCTGTCTCTTCTATGCATAGTTTTGGAATACTATTATAGTAATTGGTGTTGGTAAGATTCATCTTTTCCCTGAAAAGTCCTAAATTCTTTTTCATCCCGAGTAATAGTGGAAAATGTATTAAGAAGCAAAAAACAAAAGTCCTTGCTTATCCTTCTGTAATATCCCAGATCTGCCTCCTCCAATTTAGTTCTCTTCAGTTATTTTAATATACTGCAAATCCTATCACCCTCAACCAGCATGGCCAGAATCCTTTTAAAATAATACTATCAAGTCTTGCAAGATCATAAAACAAAAAAAAAGTTGTTGTATACTGAAGTCATCACATCTCTCTATTAAAAAAAACAACAACGGCATGTCTCTTATTTCAATATGAGTGTAATAGTGGAACTCAAGAATACAAGGAATCCAGATGTTTGTGAACCAGCAAAAGTACATTATCTGAGCATGGAGTGCCCCCTGGTGTACCAATGGCAAAATTGAAACTTGTAATTAAACATTAAGTATGTCATATTTATCCATTTACTATAGCACAGTTGATTTGAAACATCATCCGCTTGCCATTTTCTTAGAACATAGACTCATAAGGCTGGAAGGGACCTTGGAAATCTTCTAGCCCAACCCTCTGCTAAAGGCAGGAGAGCTTAAACTATCCCAGTGAAATGGTTGTCCAGTCTATTTTTGAAAACCTCTAGTGATCGCACACTAGAACTCCAAGAGGCAAGTTATTTCTTTGATTAATTGTTCTGTCAGAAAATTTCTTCTTATTTTTAGATTGAATTGTTCTTTAACAAGCTTCCACCCATACACACACACATACACACACAATGTATATATTATGTATGTATGTTATGTATGTATATGTATGTACCGTCTTTTTCGGAGTATAAGACGCACCGAAGTATAAGATGCACCAAGGTTTTGAAGAGGCAAATTTTTAAAAAAAGGTTTTTGCACTCTGCAAACCTCACGAAAATGGCCCATTTTTTTCGGAAAAAAAGGGCATGAATAGCCTTTAGGAGGTTTGTAGAGTGCTCCTGGGGGGTGGAGGGGCAAAAATGAGCAAAAAACAGGTCTGTTTTTTGTCAAAAAATGGCATGGATAGCCCTTAGGAGGTTTATAGAATGCTCCTGGGGGCTGGGCGAAATTGAGCAAATTCATGCCATTTTGGTGAAGGGGGCGAGGTTTCAGGAGGCCAAAAATTCTGTATTCAGTGTATAAGACACCCCTAGATTTTCAGCCTCTTTTTTGAGGGAAAAAGGCGCATGTTATACTCCAAAAATATGGAGATATAGATGTGTGTGTGTGTATGTGTGTATATGTGTACATATATACATATATATATATGTGTGTGTGTACATGTATATAAATGTATATATATATATATGTATGTGTATTTATATATGTGTGTATATACATATGTGTGTGTATGTACACACATCAAACATAGCGTAAAAATATAGGAATATGTTTTNAGTATTAAGTATTAAGTATTAAGTATTAAGTATAGTATAGTGTGTCTATATAGATATACATAGATAGAGACAATAGATAGATATCAAAGTGAATAGGAAACTACAATAGCATCTCAAAATAGGCATACAACCCAAGTATTACATAAATTTCTTCAAGCACATTAATTACTACCTATGCAGTAGTTTCCCTTGCTCTCTTTGAAACTCCTCATCTTCTGAAACCAACCCTTCAGAGATATGGAATGCATCTGATTTGATGCACTAACATGACTAAAGACAATGGGGAAAAAAACTGGTTTCCAGGCCAATGAGAAAAGTGACATTTAGCTTAGCTTTAAGAGTTAAGGGAAGCTCAGATTTAGATATTTGGTAATTTTTAAACTTCAAAATGAATATAACAGGCAACAAAAAGAATGAGCCATAATCTGTATCTCTCCCTCTCTCTTTGTTGTTCTTGTTGCCTTAGTGTATTTCCATGCATCATTTTTTATCTCTACAAGTAGTCCTTGCTTACCACAATTAGGACTGGCAACTCATGGTTGTTAAGCAAGATATAGCTAAAATATATGGTTTGACTGCTGGCTCTTCCAGTGACCCTGCTTGTTGGTTGCCAGTTGTGAAATATACAAATGGCCATCATGTGACAATGGGTTATTGCCACAGTCATAAACACCCACCAGATGTAAAGTGCCCAAATCTTCATCATTAGACCACAGAGATACTATAACAAATATAATAACCGGTAATAAAGATACTTTTTCAGAGCCGGCATTACTTTGGTCACAAAACAGGTCAGTCATTAAGCAAAGATTAACTGTATTATGGTTAACATCTTCCAGAGCTGCAAGTGGTCCATGGCTTTATAGTGCAGCAGAGACCCTTATAAATCAAGAAATGAGGAGCTCACTAGTGAGTAATAGAATAATGATAAGGATAATCCTGCAGGTGCTTTCTTTTGTAGGGATATTTATGCAATATTTATTGATTCTTTAGCATCTCCTTCAACCTTCTTTTACAATATTCTTTCACCTACCTGTTCCTCCATCTAAGTAGCCTTTATGCCCAGCAGGTAACAAGACATTCACACTCTACTGCTGTGGTTTACTCAAAGGGAGGCTAATGTTTTCTCTTCACCAGAATTGGCTTTCTCTGAGAGCTTAGGAAGGTTCCACTATAAAACATCTGAAGCAGACCTCATCAAGAAAGAAAGAAAAAAATCAAGGTATCTCTTCTACAGTAACCTTGGAATCATCCTGTCCAGAAACAATGTAAAGTTTATGATATCCCATTATTATGCAAAAATCATTCTAATTGGTCTGAGAAAAAGAATATAATTGGTATTTGTTTTGGTTTGGTTTGGTTTACTTTATTATCATTGCACAGCATATAATGAAATTAAGTGCCATCTTCAGTGTACATTATAACTATAAAATTAAAAACACAAAAACACATAGCAATAGCAATAGCAGTAGACTTATATACCGCTTCATAGGCCTTTCAGGCCTCTCTAAGCGGTTTACAGAGAGTCAGCATATTGCCCCCAACAATCTGGGTCCTCATTTTACCCACCTCGGAAGGATGGAAGGCTGAGTCAACCCTGAGCCGGTGAGATTTGAACCGCTGACCTGCTGATCTAGCAGTAGCCTGCAGTGCTGCATTTTAACCACTGCGCCACCTTGGCCTTCACGTGCTATATAATTGAAACTGAAAATACGATAATGCATTAATATTGCACTACGTTATTATATATTTATGATCTCATGCAATAAAATACAATTTAAAAGTTACTGAGAAGTACCTAAACTGGCTGGGGATGCTGCAACACATCTTAAAGACACCAAATTGGAAAGACTCTCTTAACCAAATAAGTATAAAAATAAACACAGATTAAATATAATCTATCTGCTAATTGGAAAGGAAGTGGAGGATACATATTCTGACTGGCATCAGCACTGCTTGGACCTTAAGAAAAAGAGGGTTGAATTTTGTGGTCTGCCTTGGAAAGAGAGAAGGTGAGTTACTACTTTTCCATAATTTGGAGTAGGGTCAGAAGGGCTCAAACACAAACACCCCAATCTATTTTACAAGAAACACCACCAGAGTATCCCATTCAGATGCTCACTCCTCTGACACGTTATATTTTTAAGAATGGATCCCACAGAAACGAACCCAGGTATACCCGAAATCTATCCCAACATCACAGCCAATAAGGGCCTTGTTGCTTTGGCCAGTGGAGCTTGTTCCCAAGCCTGTGGTCTGTCTCTATTTCAGGGACTGCTGTGCCCAGTATGGTTTCAGCAACATGCATCCCAGCTGACTCATAAGCCAGGATAAACTCTTTGTGGTTGCTATATTGAACCAACTCGCCCTTCACCTGATTCTGCCGAAATCAATAAATAAATACAGTGGTTCACTCTTTGACAGATGCCTCATTAGCAAGCAGGTAGGAAGGGCCGAAAATGGGAACATGAGTCCATACAAATAAAATTAGTTTGGCAATCCTGAACTTGATTACCGTATTGTTCAGAGTCTAAGATGCACCAGAGTATAAGATGCACCAAGATTTTGAAGAGGCAAATTAAAAAAAAAGTTTTTGCACTCTGCAGACCTCCCCAAAACACCCCTTTAAAAAAAAAAAANTGTTTTATCTTATAACTCAATAAAATATTAATGACATAAAAATGTGCTCCCTGATCCCTATCATTCTTAAATGTGAAATGCTGGTCCACTTTTCCTAGAGTTTATAGCTCAAATGTTTCAGAAGCTTATTGCTCTCTCTCTCTCTCTCTCTCTTTCTCCCTCCCTCCCTCCCTAGCAGGATCTACTTGTGCAGTTACCAATCCTCCAAAAGAGTTTTGCTTCTTCGGCAGTCTCCTGCTGTGAAGACAGAAGCACCTAAGAGGAAGAAGTAATTCTATCCTACAAAATGCCATGCTGCCAGATCAGGTAAACTGGTGCTTCTAGGTCTTTTAGACTTCAACTCTCATCAGCTTTGAGCAGATGTTTTGTAGGGTTAGCTTGCAGCTATTATAGAGTATGTAACAAAACCTGTGTAGATCTACAGCAGGGTTGTCAAACTCGCATCGTCACAGTGGCGTAATGTGATGTATTGCGACTTTCCCCCCT